ATGCCTTGTTGAATAGGATGGAAGTATGGCAAGTCATCCATATTTGTAAAATGGAATGGTAGGACCAAAATCCAAGCCATGACTTGTCAGAGTGTGGTGAGCCATGCTTGCACTCTACCAAGGGGGAGTTGAAGCACAAGATCTCTTTAGAATGAAGGACAAGTGTCCATGGTTACAACCTAGCCATCAAACTCTAAGAACTTGTGGTCCATGGATTTTGTATCTGATATGTACATGATTCATACTACAAATAGTCAATGCTGTACAAAATTTACTATTATAAGGATTATTTAAAATATATGTGTATTATGATGGTGATCACAATAGTAACTCCACTCCAAATAGGTAACATGTGTGTACTTCTTAGATAAATAAATTAATCAATGATGCAAATTTTAAGTTATAAAGGTACTTATGGCTTGATAACACAGGACCAAATTAAATCTTGGACTCAAATTTACAGGGGTTTTTAAATAAATAAATGAGGACCTTGATGTATTCAGTTGTTTGAAACCACATTATTATTAAATTCCAGATTGCTAGCATACTCAGGTCTGCTGCAGAAGAAAAACAAAAACAAACAAACAATCAAAAAGAATAAAAACTCTCTTGTTATGAACATTGTGAACATATTATGAATGAATTCAGTTCAATGGCTGTAACAAAAGAGCATGTTACATCCAAGCCATCATTATTTCAAAGCTCATTGTAATTTTTATCTACTTGAATAGATATATATATATATATATATATATATGTATTATAAAAAAAAACAAACAAACTTCTTTCAATAAACTTGAACATTATGTGAAGCATTAAAGTACAAAAACTTCATTTGCAAAAGTGACTGCAATGTCATCAATGGGAACATCCAAATTGATCTTCTAAACTTCAGTTCTAAGACCACTCTTTCCTTGTGCAATATATTCCTGAACTGAATTTGTTGTAGATCCAGTTCACATCTAACCCAGAGCACATAGAACTCCAAAGTCTAGCTCAGATGCTTGGCATATTCTAATAATAAATATAAATGGGCTTGGCCCTTCAGACAAGGCTGTTAAAGCCAATGACCTAAGCTTTGAAAACAGTTGGATCTCTGACTTCAGCACCCTTCAACTGCAAGCATTTAATCACATTGCTGAAGGTGGGTGGGTGGTGCTTGGAATGAAGCCCTAATTTGGGATTAGCCAGACAGCCCTATAGTGAAGCAAGTTTAGCATGTAGAATCAAGTGATCATGTGCTGTGTGCAACCATGTCTCCACACCCTGAATATATGTGGAACCTGTATTTATTACCCACCAAGCCAGGTCACTACCCCATGTTGTATGCTAAATGCAATCTCTCAACCATGTTCCTCTCATGGGTTTTTTTTTAACTGCTTTAACTGTTTTCACTGTTTTAAAAACAGATGAAGAGGTTTATTTTGGCTTTCTTTAAATCTTCTTTGCAGTTGGCACATTGTCATGGTCATTCATTGCAAGGATAATGGAGCAAGTCTGTCAACACCACTGGCAGGGTACATTTTTTGTAAAGCCTTTGCATCTCTTCCATGCTTTTGAAGTAAACCTGGCTCTACTGCCTGCCCCATTTTACCAGTGGTACAGGGGTGCCATGTGAGCTCAATCTGGAAGAAGAATAAGGTTAATAATGCTCAGCTGGACAATCTCATGTAGCCTGAGTTGCAAGTTTAATGAACATGGCAGAAGTAGCAAAGTCATGGTTGTGGGATTAGTGGTGCGGTGTTGCTCCCATCCCATTTAATCAATTCTCTCCATTTGAAGTGATGCCCTGACACCCACAAATCCTCTTTTCTCTACTCCATTTTTAGCTCCATAGGCAGCTCTATGAGCACACACCCAGGGAAACAGCATCAGGGATAGAAAGAGAGAGAGAGTGAGAGAGAGAGCAAGAGATAGGTTTTATATGGATCCCAGTGATATACCAGATCATTTTTGAAAAAATCTAGGTAAATTCTATTTATAAAAATGAGTGTTTCCAGTAACAAAATTAGTGAATGTGAGCATGGTATTCAACATTTTCTTTAACATTGAGTCAATCCATTTACATAAATTTGGTATTATTAACAATGAATCATTATTCTAGAATGTATCTTAAAATGATAATAACAATAACAGTTACTTTTTTCTTTTTTCTTTTATTTTATTTAAGCATTAATGCCTGTAGAGTGAAGATCAAGCTCAAATAACAAGTGGGAAAAGGAATGATACTGCAGGGTTGTATTGGGTGAGTGTCAAATAATATCATGGCTTCTTGGTGAAGGCAGTTACCAGTTTGAAGGCATGGAGAACCACTGCATGCAAATGTGCATGGTGGAATGCTTGAAGGAGAAGCTATTATGGCATTTTACATATCTGGCACAATGGGAGCAAGCAGAAATCTTTGCTCAAGGAATATGGATCCACATGTGCCATGCTGGCCACCACCACCACACTCAAAACTCTCACCAGCACAGAATCCAGGCCTACAGTGGAGAACCCATGAGAGGAAAAAGTAACAAAAGAAAGAGAGGAAACAGACAAAGAAGAAGGAAAAAATACAGAAGCAGAACAGGCTCTATTTTCTCCTTCACTGGGAACTTCACAAAGCTGCTTTTACTACACATGTTAGAGTGCCAGCAGGAGTTTCGGTTTCCTTCCACATCACCACACTTAACTATAATAAATAAAATAATACTAATCTTACACTTTTATATTAAAAATTGAAAGTTGTTTTTTGTTTGTTTTTGTTTTTGTTTTTTTTTTGTCATTTAAATTGTATGTTACAGAGCATGATGGGTTTAGCTGTAACTTGTTGGAATGGAGGGTGATAATGTTTAAAATTGAGAAGGTGTAGTTACTTGCTGCAGATGCAACCAAGTGAGATGCCTCACAACCAAGAGGCAATGGCATGTCTCTGGGAGTTGCAACAGATCATGGAAGTACTTATCTTTTTGTGGTTGTTTATGTCCCACAGAAGGGGAGGAAATGAAAAGAAAAGACAGTAACACACCAGTCCAGCTATGCCAAAAGGATTTATGTGTGAAATCAAATAGATAAGTCAGGCTCTATGGCTACAGTGATGGGAATTAATGTTTGTTCCATTTAAAAACAAACAACATGGACCAGAGTAACCCCCATAATTGGAGGAATGAAGAAAAAAACAAGGCCACCCTGTATGAGTTCATCCAAGTCCCAGGAAAGGCTCCATGCCTACAAGAACTATATTGACAACCCAGGAAGGTGGCTCAATCTGGGCTCTCTCTCTGTGTTGACCTTTGGCCATGGGGGTGGCCCTCCCTGCTTCAGCCAAACAGCTTTACTGGCTCATACCTGCTTTACTAATCTGGTTTGGCTGTCTCATCAAGGGTTGTGAAATTTGAAGGCATGATGGATGGTGCCTAGGGCCTACAAAAGACCTTGTGTGTCCTCCTCCACTAAAGCAAAGCATTTTAACCCCTTTGCTCAGTAGGTAGTATTGGATAATTTGTCTGCCAGAATGCCATCTTAACTGTCAAGTGAAGCAAAGAGATGGAAGAAGAAGAAGAAGAAGAAGAAGAATCTAAGGTTGGGTGCTGGGGATCAAATTAGGAGGATAATTAGGGGATTTAGGAGACCAACCAGCCCCACACAAAGTCCAAGCCATGGTAGCAAGAGTCAGACATGTGGGAAGAGAGGATGCATAAGGGAGCCAAACCCAAAACATGGCCATTGAGTTTGGGTGCACAGAACATTATGACATGAATTCACCTGAAAACAGGGGAAATCTGATGTGGGCCTTTTGCCAGCTACATATCAGCCAATGCCTGCACCAATTTTCCTGTTTGTGACTACCCACTACCTCTCTCTTTGTCTCTCATTTTTTTCTGCATTACATTAATTTGTGGATATTTCCTATCCTTCTGATACATATTTTTTATGGCCCTTACCCAGGGCAAAAAAGTCCCTGTTTCAAAGGGTCACCTGACCCATTGTTAAATTAGCCAGAGAGCTCTGCAGGTTTTTACAGCCACCTCATGGAACTGGTCTGGCTATGGTTGGAACAAACAAAACAATATGTATAATTGTACACACACACATACATACATACATACATGATCATGTTTCATTTCTCCCCAATCTACTACAAAAAAGCTCCTAACCTTGAACATGAGGATGAAGACACCATTGCTGACTTTGCCTCCACAACCCAGAAGTCAACTTGAAAAACAACCTCTGCTCCAGAATTGGAACTGAAACATTCATTCATTAATTCCAAGGATTCACATTATCTAAAAAAGATATTGAACAAGTGTCAAATCTAATGGGAGGAGGTAGGATAGTAGTTACCATACCAGACAGAGAAGAAAGGTGGGGATATGGACCATCCATCCTCTAGTGATAGGCAAAAAGCTAAGGCTAAGGAGGGATGAATGAATTTTTGGATGAATGCCTGGATTGGCCCGAGACCATTCAAACGACCGACTAGGCGTCAACAGGGACGAATCAGAAGTCAAGGCATTGATCGGACCCCCCCCCCGCTGGATGACGACGAGGCGGTCTCATGTCCAGGACGCGTCTTCTACCTTTTCGTCACCGATCCGTCTCGTCTCCGTCAGCGTTCGTCCCAGCCCCCCCAAGGGATATGAGTAATAAGGGCAGCGACGGCACCGAACGGCTGCTGCTGCCGCCGCCGCTGTAGCGTTCTCATCTGGAAGGGGAAGCGGAAGCAAAGCCACGCTCGCTGTGAAGAACTGCCGGCGGCAAGGCAAGGCGCAGCGGGTTCGATGCCCCGCCTGCCACTGATTTCCTTTGTGAGGCGACTGGTCGACTTTTGTAGTGTGGTGTGGTGACTGGTCAATCTCATTATTTATTCATTTATTTATTATTTATTGGTTTTCCCTCCCCTTCGTTCTGAATCGTGAATTTGTTTTTGGAAAGACGTCAGTGTGGTCGGTGAGGGGGATCGAGCAAAAAGCAGCGCTCAGGGCTGGATGTCAACACCACCCCCACATGACTCCTTGCCACCGGATCTAGAACCAGTGCCAGCTTAGATGAAAAAACGTTTGCCTGCTCTTCGCCATGTCTGGAGCTTTCTCTCTCTCTATCTCTCTCTATCTCTCTCTTTTTTCATTTTAGCTAAGGTCGTAGTTACCAAGCTCACGAGCAGGGTGATTACAGATATTGCGTGGCTGGGATTGTGTGGAGGATACGAGTTGGAGGCTACGTAAGCTGAGATGCAATTTTCTTGTGATTATCAAGGACCACGTTTAGGATTATTGGTGTCGGAGCGGCACCGGTAGTGCAGGTGTTCTGTGAGTGCCGGTTTCTCCTCCATGTCACGGTGATATTTGATTCGACGCTGCTTTGATTTGGTGCACATGTTGTTCGTGGGCCGGGGTTGAGAATCAGACCATAGTGAGCGAACTCGCGCTGTGAGATCTGTGTGCACGAGGCGTGCACTTTTACAGGGATGCACTTACAATTGTAGAGGCTTCTGGAGCTCTTGGGTGAAGCGTGTAGGAAGGTTCAGGAGTGTTTGGGAGGCTCCTAGGTGGTTGTCTCCTAACGCTCTCTTTGTCGCAAGGAGTTGTAGTGCGAAGTGATAGTGAAAGGCTGGGTGTCTATCTTCCTTCTTCAGGCATTTCCAGCTCTTGATTGGGGGTGGGCAAAGTTTGGAGGTTCCTGGGCGGGGTTCGTGGATGATCGTCTTCGGTGTCTGTCCCATGCTGCCTCTTTAGATGACCTAGTTATGGCTCTTCACGGAAATGCACTTTTGATCCTGTGCGAGAAGCTATCGACTTTGTATCATCGTTGAGAAAGATCTCGGCAATACTGTTCGGCCTCTCAAATTGGGCCATTTTCTGCGCTTGGTATTGCTTACGGTTCTCAACTTTCGCTGCGGAACTCTTGCGGCGTGGTTCTTGATCTTTACGGATTTTCTTGCAACTTTGCCTCAGGAGGGTTTATTACACTACTGCAAGACATTGAGTGCTACCAACGCCGGTTCTTGCACTCACGGCTACGCTGACGTTTCAAGAGTGACATTCATGAACCCTATGAAGGGACTGTGAGCTGTATCACCACCCCAGTGGTTGCTCAACGGGGCTGTAGCATATCTGTCGTGTGGCGGAAGAGTAGGGAGTTGATCTGGATGGTTATGTCTTCTACTGCCTGCTTCCAACTTCTAAAATCACCCGAGAACTGAAGGAAGGTACGGCATGCTTGGATAGAAGAGCACTGCGATAAGGCATCCGTTGCCTTTGTATAGTTGGTTTGACGGAACATGGCAACTCTAACTAAGTTTCTAGGAATGTCGAAGTGGGATTAAGGAAAAGGACGCAGTTTTATTTTCCTTCACTCTATGGCTGTCTTTGACGGCTTTCTCCTGTAGATAGGTTACCAAGGGAAGTAGCATGTCAGTTAATGGGTTTCTGTTTTCTGTTGGGGTGAAACGAGATATATTGAGGGAAATGAGTCTGTAATCGCTTACAGCAGTCGTGATCAACCAGTTTCGTGTAGAGGATAGAGGAAGTCGATAGTTGCTAGTAAGAAACTCTTGCACTTTTCTGGTCTGAAACGCTATGGAGCAATGCAGAGCACGGTTACGGGGGTCAGAGAAAATATTTCTTGGAACCCACTATCTTGTGTAGTATTTACCTTGGTCATGTTGCGGGTAGTCTTCTGGAATATCACAAGTTTTCCAACACGTCTTCACATTGACTGATTAATTCATCCGAATCATTTGCGCACCGAATTTTACTCCAGGTAGTTTGTGGTTGAGTTTGGGCAGCGCGGCAATATAACCAGTCTCGTAGTTTATCGGAAATACTGACGACCATTTAAAGCTCAGCTTAGTTTTTGCTTTGACTGTGACGCCTACCTTAGAGCATTAGTGCGCAATGTCGGAGGAAGTTGAATGCCGTCGAAGTAGGGGACATGTCAGGTTTTCCATCTAGTACGCCTCGATCTCTGGGGTTTTTGAAATCCGCCGTAGTCAGATGCTGCATGTTGTCTAGTGACATAATCTCGTGGGGGGTTGAGGAGTGACGTTTGTAAATAGCAACTACATCCGATTTAATTCTGATTGTGTTGTTTCTGAGTCGAACGCACATCTGTACCGTGCTCGAGGTGCACAAATAGATTTTGCAGATTGGGTGTTTCACGAATGGATGCACTGTATTGTACCGTCTGACGCTGATTGTTATTGTCTTATCACAGAGTTATTCAAGATTTTAAAGAGGCAACTTCTGATCGGCGGGATCAGATCGCCTCAATCTAAATCCTCGATGAGGGCTGAAGAGGAGAAGAAGATTTGGTAGATTGTTGCTAGGTGGAAAGAACTGTAGTGCGGTACCCGAAGCTAATACTCTTCTTGACTTCCATATTCAGCATGGATATGGGGTACAGCGAAGACTTGGGCAGAGTTAGCAGTCACGGAGTTGTTGACTTCCAGCTTCCAGAAGAAGACGTTGAAGGCGGAGAAGATCTTTACGAATTTGATATGGACCAATTGCAAGCGGCAGAGGATATTGATGCAGTTGACAACATCTTGAATGACGAAGATGCGATTGATGCGATCGATGCGGATTTCAACGTCATAAGTGATGATGATGCCAGGTTGAATTTTCTTTCCCTGATATTTTGAATATGAATTCGAATTCCTATGTTTGTCTAACTCCTAAGGACATACCTGATACACCCGCAACAAGATTTACCCGACCTCCAGTTTGGCTGTGTATACTGAGCGCTGTTCGAGTTTTTAAGGCGTTAGCTGAATTCATTTGTCCTCTGCAACTTTTCTTCTCGGCGATCTGCACAGTTCTGTAGTGCGGTTCTACCTTAGACGATCTTGCCTTGTAGGTATCCAATTCTCTCTACCTGAATCTAGCTCTTAGTTTATATAGATATTCTTGCGTTTGCGATTGAGCTCTACACATACGTAAACCTTTCTGGCAGTAGTATCGGTGTAAGATAATGAATACTCAGCATGATCGTTATTCCCCTTCGTTGAACACACGTTGTAACTTGTATGAACATCATCTGTGCTTGCTGTCGTATTGCCACTCTCAACGATCATCCTCCAATGTTCTCAATTGTGGACAGAATCTCAACCTTGTGCGCCAGCTTTCGTTTCTACCCATAGTTTTTAATTAGTTGTCTAGTCCATGCTTATGATGCTAGCGTTGTCATATCTTTGACTTAATGGTCGCTTGGTTTTGTTTTTTTGTTTTTTGTTTTTTTTTGCGTCCGGTATTCTGCTTCCACCTACTCTGATCATTTAGCGTTTGGTTTTGATTTGATCAGCATGGATGGAAGGGGCGATGAAGTTCCTGGTTCCCAGGATGGTTTCACTTTTGACACAAACCTTGCTTCAATGCACACTTACTTGGGAGGTATGTTGATGAGCGTCACACCTTAAGAGTCTTTTCTCAGTTTGGAGTACTTAGTCTAAATGTGTTCTCTTGTAACTACTCATGGTGTTTTTTGACATTTCGTGTGTCACACATTTCAAGTTGCTTCATTTTGCTGTTTGGAAGAAATAATTATTGTGTGTGATCGACCTTTAAGCATGCTGAAACTGCTGTGAAGTCCTAAGCAATTTATAGCTAATAGAGTTTGCAGGACCAGTGTTGGATTTTATTACTTACAAACTGCTTGCTTCGTTGGGTACAGAGGTTGACGATGTAGCTAGTAGCCGCTCTTTTGTTGATGGAGGAGCATTTTTGACTCTGCCTATGTTTTACTTGGAAGGTAACTGCGGGAGTTTTCTTCTTGAGGCATTGTTGCGTCCTAGGCATCGCTTGTTGATTGACTTCGCATGGATTGTAAGGTCGTAAAACTTTACACTGAGTTCAGATTCTTTCAGGTATCGTGTTATTTCCCGATGATACGCTGCCACTTCGAGTGTTGCAGCCAAGGTTCAAGGCTGCGGTTGAGCGAGCCATGAAAAGTACGGAGGCGTATAACACACTTGGTGTGATTCACGTCCGCGCTAGGGATGGGCATGTCACTGTGGCTTCAGTTGGCACGACAGCTGAGGTTAGACACTAACCTTGATAAGGTTTCTGGTAGAATTCAAGGTAGATTCCTAATACTTTTCGTCATAATGTTTCGCTTTGTTAGAATTCACTCTTTGCCCAGATTCTGGACCTGGAATTGTTACAAGCATGTGTGCATTTAACTTACAGTCACGCACATTTGCACCAAGTTGATTGTCTTGTAATGTCTTTTTATTCACAGATCCGGCAGCTAAGACACCTCAATGATGGCTCTGTGAACGTCGTAACTAAGGGCCGGCAGCGCTTTCGCATTTGCAAAGCCTGGACTGAAGCGGATGGAGCGGTATGCCCGGATTGTGTTTTTCTTTCTGTTATTTTATGTTATTGTGTATTCTCTTGGTTCTTTTGGTATACTAGCATTATTATTGTTGTTGTTGTTGTTGTTGTTGTTGTTGTTTTACAGTTCAATTCCAGTAGCTCAGTTGAACCATTTGGATCTTCTAATCGGCCAACTCTTGGTGTGTTACAGTTGTTCGCTCAAGTTCAGATCATTGAGGAGGAGACGCCTCTGCACATACCACGAGATGCGTTTTCACGCCTCGCTACGGTGCCCACCTTTCAGAGTGGCAAAGTTCCACGGGCAGCTGCCACCTCTCCTCTTCCCTACGAATTGAGCGACGATGAAGCAGCTCTTCAAGCTGGGAGTGACTTGGATGCCTTCGACGATTCTGAGTCTGATTCTGGACCTGAAGACGAAAGGTCGTGAAGAAGTTGCTTGTTTAGACAACTAGCCATCCTTGGTTCTATCTTGTTTATTGATTGCTGCAGTGATGTAGTCTACTACTACTAGTACTCTCTTTTATTATTCAATTATTATTATTATTATTATTATTATTAATATTTGGATTGAGTTGAGATATTTGCTCTTTTAACCCTATTGATGAATTTGCCCCGTGCAGGCAGATCGAGAATGATGATCTTTTACGGGTTTTGGAAAGGGGTGTTGGAGATGATGAAAGTAGTGAAGAAGAAGAAAGGCCAGGTCACGATTGGCGGTCAAGAAGAGTTCGAAGAAGAGGGGAGGAGAATGGAAGTCTTGAAGTAGAGAATTACAGAGGCGGAGAGTCGCTGGTTATGGGAGATGTCCAGCCTAGTGTCAGAATGGATAATCTTTTATCGAATGTTGATCAGCCTATGCACAGCTGTGAGTCTTCTGCAGTGGGTAATGGGCTGGTGACGGGCGTTAAAAGGCCTCGAGAGGGTGGATGGGGTGCTGCTTGTAAAGCTTGGGCGACAGACGCAAGGAAATGGAGACACAAGGCTCAGTGTACAGCCTGGCCTCACTGGGTGTATCGGCAGTTTGATGCCTATGACCTTGCAAGGAGAGCAGCAGGTAACTAATCTAGCTTACAGTTTAAAACGAAAAAAGCTCTGAATCATGGTTTTTGTGTCAGTGAAGTTTGCAAGGTTAATGATGAGAATACTGGTGATAACATGACTCGCAAAAGTTTAAGCTTTGTCGTGTCTTTGCATTTCTACATAAGATCTAAATACGTCTCCTCGAATTTTGTGTATCAGATATGCTGAGGCAGATGGCTGACCTTCCCCGCATGGAGGCTATGGTGCACACACCAAGTCAACTATCGTATTACATTGCAAGCAACATGCCTCTTCAAGATTCGACCCGACAGGAACTGCTTGAAGTCGATGGAACTGTGTATCGACTGCGTCGAGAGATTGAGTTGTTGGAGTCCATGGACCAATTACGCTGCAAATGCTGCATGGTATGTCTCGCTTTTTAAGGAAGTACTCCTGAGTAAAAACAATCTTTACCCTGCGTTGAACAATCCGGACATGAGTAGTTTAATTTAAATATTTCACCCGCAACTGACTGGGTAACTAACAAAACACAGTGCCTTCACTCTGGTTTTTAAGTATTCTATCTTTGGTAAGATATATGCGCTTTATCGATTTCAGATAATTGAAGGATATCCCACTTAGCAAGAGAACTAATCTATTTCGCCCTTTTTTAGGCCTTGATTACAAGACGAAGCGACATGCTAGTAATGTCAGCAGATGGTCCTATCAGTGCGTATGTGAATGCCCATGGCTATGTGCATGAAACCCTCACTCTCGCAAGGGCTCGAGGGCTTGTGCTGAATGGACAACCTAACACTGCAAACAGCTGGTTTCCTGGGTGAGCACACTCTTCATCTATGTCATATTTTAGTATGTATCTCTCTGGTTGAGGATTTCCTACAATGTAGAGGATGGCACTATCATTAGCTTCTTTTGGAAGTATGAGTGGATTCTTGCAACTAATCATCTAGAGACGATTCATTTCATTTGCAGATATGCATGGGTTCTGGCAGAGTGTGCTGAATGTACAGAGCACATGGGTTGGCGCTTCACAGCTGTCAACAAGGAAAGTAGGCCTAAAGCATTTTGGGGCATTCGAAGGTCTCAACTGGCCGAGAACAGTTCGTAATTGGAAAGATTCTTTCAAAGCGTGCAATTATACAGACTTCGAGATGTATCAAGGCCTGTCGGTTGAGAAGCTTCAAAGGGTTACATTGGAGAGGGGATGAAACGGACCAACCACGCACTAGGAGAGGGCCGGTTGTGGCTATTGGTTGTTCACTTCGCTGTACATAAGGTGACTCATCGAGGTTCTATGTGGCAGGCAAGATCTGGTCTGCTTACAATTTTCTTTCCCGCATGGAAGTGCTCCTGTATTGAACTAGTTGACATGTTGCGGTAGAACCATGCGATATTGGTTGCCCTGCAGTTAATCTCCGAAACGCAACGTCATCCTCTCAAGAACCTCGATCTCCAAATCATGACATATTTTTTTTTGTCAGGCACAGCACGCCTTGCAGGTGTGTATATTGTCCTGATATGTACTTATTAGCATCCCTGAACCTTTTAGCACATTCATTGAGGTGATCAGTATTGAAGATGCTGTGGTCATCCTTGCTTGCCTGTATTTTGGCCCATACAAAAAGCCTGAATGATGGCTTCTGACGATACATAGGACCATGGCATTTATCTTGTTTAAGTCAGTGGACTTGTTTCCTGTTCTGCGGATATCAGTTTAGAAGACCAGATGACTGTCAAGTAAAGATGATGCACTTGTGAAATATAAATTCTTCATTTTACTTTCCTGTCAGTAACCTTACCTCGACAGCTTGCACGCAATCCTAGTGTCTATGTGCTCCCATTTATGTATCTCTGTCAAATGCAGACTAAGTGCATTTTGCACATGAAGCTAAATGTAAACACGATGTGACTACTAGTGACTGAAATAGCTCTGTTAGGACCTCATTAACTGTGCTTTTCCATACAGATCTTGAAAGTAGGGACAGAGTGCTTTTGACTGACTTGTGAGGACTTGGATTGTCCATTTCAAATATAACTGAGTCTACATTTTCCTTGAATCTAGTTCATGAACTTTTAGTAGCTAGTTTCATTGAACACATGTTTAATTCCTGATTCACAAAAGCTTCTCATCATTACTGAAAGCTTGGTGTGTCAGTAAGTAAATGTGGTAGAGCAATCTGTCCCTGATGGCATCAAAAGTTGTAACACAAAAGATTATTTTGTTGCAACTATGTGACTTTGTTTAACTTAAATGTATATAAAAAGTAAGAAAAACCAATATTGGATTTATCACCTTCCAAGTTTGAATGTTTACCAAAATTAAATAAAGGATGTGTCACCATTTATGACTTACTTGTCATAATACTAAAGAGATGCTTATTATAATTCTTTCAGAAAGAACACCAGGATATAGCAATAATAACAAATAATTAGTTTTTCTTCAAAATATCAAAACAGTCAATTTGTATGTTTACTAACTATTTTTTTTAACACATTTGGTTAACACTATTTAAGATGTTAATTTTATTAATATATTTTAACAATTGTTAAACTATGTCTAATAATATTTCTTATTGGTTGATTGTAGATAAAAAGATGGTGAAAAAAAATGTTTTTTTCTGAAAAATGTAATTCAATCTTCTTGCAATGGATTTGGACAATAGTAACATTCCTAAACCTACACTGCATAATGATTAGAACATAAGAAATGTTTGTAAGGTCTAAAAGTTTTTGGATCATAGAAATTTGTAGGTTTAGAAGATAAAAAATATATTATCTCTTATTGCTTTAGGTGTAATCTTCTCTTCTTCTACTTCACATTTGGTGGTCAAAATTTGCTATAATCAAGTAAAATAAGAAAAATAATGTCACTATATATATATATATATATATATATATGTCTTATTAAGAATAATGTTAAATTATTAATGAAAATTGAATGTGGTAGCATTTGCAACTTCTCAATCTTGGAAGTTAGGTTATTATTGCATTAAAATATTGTGAATCCTCATCTTAAAAATAGATTCATTATAAATGCTTCTATAGTATTCTAATTTTAATATATAGTTGGAATAGGATTTAGACTTTAAGATTATTAGTTTTTATTTATTTATTTGAAACTAAGTGGGATATATCTAATGCTTTATATAAGAAAAGTTTGATTAACATTTTGCATCTTGGTTTCTAACTTTCTTTAAAAATATTTCTTGAAAGATAATTTTCTTTTTTGTGAAATCCATATTGCATATAAACATAACTCTCAAAGAAGAAAGCATAACGTCTTAAATTTATTGAATTTAGGTTGAGTTTTACAAGTAAAGATGGTTTAATTTAAACTAAAGACTTTTCATGGTTTTATTTTCTAAGACCTGAGGCTAACTTATAGAGTATCAAAGAACAAAAGTTTTTGTTCTAATAACACATTTGAGGCTTAAAAAGAAACTCTTCCAATCCTTTATGATATAATTTAATTACCTTCTTTTGACTTTGTATTATAATTTGATGTTAAAAGATGCTCTAACAATCTTTGCAAATCCTTCCACCCTAGCAAGTGTCTCTATTGCATCATTATGTTAAGACTGTTTTTGGATCTTTGATAAAACTTAATTGTAATAATGTATATAAGTTATCTTTCTTGATTGATAAAACCTAAATTTTAGTCAATTTCTTAGGAAAGTAGCATCCTTCTTCAAACCATATAATACCAATTGTTTTAGAAATATTGATGTTAGAAACTTATTAAGTTTTCTCACAAAACTTTATATCTATCTAACATCATATTCTAATCTAAATTACACCCTCTTGCAATTCTTGAACTACCATCCTTGCACTATGAAGTATAACAAATGTTGTGCCATATCCAAATACATCTTACATTCTTCTTGCCTCCAAAAATAAAAAAATCCTATTCTCTATTGCAACTCATGGTTGTTACAAAATCTATATGTTAAGATTTTAATACTTTATTTAATAATGAAATAATCAAAATTTTATAATATGATATGCATATTAGTAGTTTATTATAAAAGAAATTACACATTATAATATAAAATAGTTTTAATCAATGAAAAATAAATTTTAATATTTAAAAATAATTTTAAGAAGTATAGGTATTGATAAAAAAAAATTGAGTCCAAATTAATGCTAATAATATTAAGACATGATATTACAAGTGCTATATCTATCTATCTATCTATCTATCTATCTATCTACATATATATATATATATATATATATATATATATATTTTAAAAAAAATCTTTACATTTGGTTTAAATCTGTTCAAATTAAAATTATGACATAAATCTTAACCATCATTAAAACTATCAATTGTTATAAAGTTTTTAAAGAAAAAAATTCTTTATATCTAAAACTTATATTTTGTTGAATTTTTAAATTTGTTGCAATGTATGTATAAAAAGATGTGGTTTAATTAAATATCTATTTTAAACTTAAATAATCCATTTTTTAAAAAGCTTATTCTACTTTTTGGACAACAATTATAATTATTAGGTACAAAAGCAAAGTATAAATTTTTGAACACATATAAGCTACTATATTATTTTAAAATTACTTAATTCAAAAATTTGTTAAGATAAATAAGATAAATAAGATAAATAATTATATTTAATTTAAATTTAATACTATATATATAAATATTTCAATTAAAATAAAAAATATATATTTATTTATTCATGTCAAATTTAGCATTAGGAAATGAAACAATTAATATTACTTTGTTATATTAAAGGTGTCCTGTAAGTAAATTTTTAATGCCTATTAATAAAAATTTCAATTAAACAATTGTTTCAAAATTAATTTTAATTTTTTAATCAAGTAGTAGATTTTAGAACAGAGCAATAAAAAAATTAGAACACGTTTTGATACTATTTATTAAAGATACATTAAAAAGTTAATTTTACAAAAACACATGTTAAAATTATAATTCAACATGAAACCAGATATTGTTTCAAAAAATATTACTCTAGTTTAAGATATAATTGGATGTTACAAACATCTGATTGGTTTAACTGAGTTTTGAATTTTTAAACTAAAAACTACTATAGATTTATCATACAACTTTTTTGAATGAATTGCTATCACAAATCTATCTTTAAGGAAATAAAATAATTTACACACAATAAATTATTTTTATATTAAATACTTCATTAGTTAGAATAATATTTTTAATTTTTTTATATCTCAAGGAATTTTGAAAAAAATATATTATTTGCAAATTCTAAATCAACTAAATAAGTATTTCTTTTGCTGTAAACTATAATTTCTTGAAAAACAATGTAGGCAAAAATTTCATTAAATTTTTAGTATTTTATATAAACTGCACTTTAAAAAAAACTATTTATTTTTTAATGTTTTAAAATAATTATTTTTAAAAAATCAATTAAAAGCTTTTAAATTTAGATGTAATCTTTAAAATCTTTTATGATTCAAATTTATAATTTTAATTATTAAAGACATAATATTAAGTACAATTTTTTTTTAGTTACAATTTTTTTTATTAAAACTATAGCCTATCTAATAAACATTTTAAATATATAAAAACTAATACACATCAAGCTTAAAACATCAACGTCAATTTTACTAAATTTGAATACTTGTATTCCTAAACTTTATGATATAGAAATTATATATTTTTAAATATATATATATATATATATATATATACATTTAAAATTTAAATAATTAATATTATTTTATTAGTAATAAATTTTAATATTATTCATGATAATTTATTTGGTTTCAGATTAAATTTTTAAATTACTAGATATTGAAGCTCTTATACATATTTGATATACTATGCAAATATTTTTTTATTATAAACTAAAATATCTTTTGCATAGTAATTATTAAATAAATTATATTTTTTGAATTTGATAAAAATAAATTAAAAAAAGAAAAGAAAAACTACATATATTTTGAATTATCTATTTTGTTTGACAAAAAATTCTTTGATTGACATATACCATTCTTATTGCTTTCAAAGAGCTACTTCTAAATTTAATAATTTAAATAAATATTACCTACAAATTATAAATTCATTGAGGTGACATTTGGACAAAGTCAAGTAGTAGGTATAGATAGAATCATTCAACTCACCTTTTGGTTGGTGCATGGGTGGCTAAAAAGTGATCGATGATAACGTTTCTTTTGATCCTACAACGGGGGATTATCTTTTATACTCCTGAAGTTTGCTGATAATAACATAGGCTGAAGATGTAATTAAGTTGCTACGCCCTGCTGAACTCTGAAGATGCTGACAGACAGTTGGAGCTATTAGATATCCCAACTCCATTGTGTAATATTTCAGCACTCCAATGACCTTCGACATTTTTTGCTAGAGTGGTCAGAACCTTGTCATGTTGTGTTGCTTAAGCATCGATACAAGAATTCGTGTGTTCACTTTTATGACCAATATGCCGGTATGTGCATAACGCTATATTAGATAATCTTCTCATGACAGATGAATAGCCGAAACTGCGAGTTTTGAATTGAGAATTGAAGGAGTGTGGTAATAACTCTCTGTTTCTTAGGAGCATGTTATCCTGGTTATATACTGGAAAATCTCGATTAATGAAGGTTTTGGTTTTTGATTTCAGCTGATAGAAACCTAAGAACAAATTCGCCTGGACCAATTCTGGTGGATAACTCTTTGAAGTGAACATTGACAGCGGCCTTTTCCTCGCCGAAACTTCCTGAAATTTACTCCTTTGTTCTTCCTATTGTCATGAGCATTTTGGCATATGAAGAACTATCAGAATCTTCCGAAATGGGGCCATTCGTCATGAAGTTCCTGTGCC